CACAACTTCGTAAATAAGTTTGACAGTCTTAACATGAAAAGAACTAGTCTTAATTTTTAAAAATCAGAGGAAAAAAAAGTCACAAATCCTGCTTAGTTTGATCAGATTATACTATGGCTTGAAACATTTTTAATACAATCTGCTTGAACTCTGTTTTGTTTGCTTTCTTGTTACTTAATAACACGTATAATTATGCAAGTTACAATAATTAGCAAGAAAAGGCCAGTATACCCTGGTTGGTAGGGCACTGGACCCATGTCCGAGAGTTCGATCCCTGCCGGCCGAAGACTCCCCGTGTAGTAAATGGTGACTGATGCACGTTAAATCTGCCAAGTCGCAAAGTCCTCTATGTTCCCATAACAAATCAATACCTCTGGGGTTACTGATCCAGGAGTTTCCTTGTCTTCTGATTTGGTTCAAAATTACAAGGTTGGGGAGTTGAACATTAGTAGTCGTAAACCAAAAAAATTGGGTTGGCTGTTCAATGACGGATATAAATAAATATAAATAATTAGTAAGAATATTTTATTTTAAAAACATATATACATATATCACAGTTGTATGAGAAACCAATGGTTGATAGGAGTTAGAATAGCCTCCACTGATTTCCACTGACATAGAATAGCTTCTCGAAGAACTGCCAGAGAAGAAGAGGAAGAAATCATGTCTTCACAAGACATCAAAACTTCTATCACAGAATACATTTTTTTGAAGGCCAAAAATACTTGATGAGGGAAAGCAAATCTTTGATCTGTAACACAGAGATTTAGAGAATTGAAAAGGGTTCTAAGAGACATTTGTGAGGGAAAAAAAATAAGATAACTATACAAAATTCATTTATTTTGTCAGATCTTTGAGTATAGAGCATTTTAGAGTATTAGTGGATGAAAATACTGAGTGTTTTTCAGTGAAGAAAATGGTTACCAAGGCTTTTCATTGCAACCAGTCAAGTAACGTTGAAATATCTTGTTTTTGAGAGTATGTTATATGTTATAATATTAATAGTGTGAATACTAAGATGAATGCAATTGGAAAGGCAAGGTATAATCTTATTTTAGATTAAGGACCTCTAAATTAATTTACTTAAATTCACTTCAACCCCTCAGTTTCAAAATTGTTTGATTATAATAAGTAACTTTCGTGAAAAATTCTGAAAATCTTACAAAGNCAACTGTAAAACTTCATCAACACAATAAATACCAATGTTAAGCGTGCACAAACACGTTAGTATACGAAACTACTGTTTGTAGTTATTTGTGCTTCAAAGTCAGTAGCTATGCTAGCGCCAGCGCGATCGCCTCTGGGCAAAATTTGTAAGTACAAGAAATTCGTACTTTTTTTTAAATATCTTGCTAACAATGAAGAAACGTATCTTGAAAAAATGACAGACGAAAGCAGATGAAAAAAGACAAAAAACAAAATGTAATAGCAGAATATTTAAATTTTTTTTCGGGGGGAGGGGTGGGTAGTTTGTTAGAGGGTTGCACCCCCTTTTATATAATTCTGCCGGCGCCCTTGAAATGTAAGAATAAATCGCTGAATTTATATTTATTACGTATTGTGTTCGGAGGCGGGGTAAAGAGGGCACATGGTTAGGCTTAGCTAAGTGTTATAAGATAGGGATATTTTTTACTTCTGTGTTAGCTTTAGTAAGTTTATTTCCTTTTGAGTAAGTTCAGCTTATATTTATATTGAAATTTATATCCTTCAGTAAGTTTATGTTTTGACAGCTCTCACATGGTAAATTTTGGGTCTCACATGGTAGATGTCGTTAATTTTATTAAATTTCAAATATTTTTTAGGGTCCGTTGGCCAATTTATGAACTTTTTTTTTCTTGAATTTTTCTTATATTTTATTGTAAACATCAATCTAGATGTTTAACTTCACCTGTTAGTTAATAGTCGGAATAATATAATCACAACTATTATACATGTAAAACGTTTAATTCTTGAGGTAAATTTGTTACGTTTGTATTTTTGCCCGATTACCTCCGGGCTGTAACCAAAATAGTACTATGTTTTTAAATAAATGCCACGGAAGGGTTTCGCCTAGGCTCTCGGCCGGTGCGTTTGCCAGATACTCTCTGTCCACCTCCGGCAGTGCGGGAGAATGTCACGGTCAACAAGTTGAAAAATTTTCCTGCATACCTATATTTGGGGGGGTCGGGGACCTAATTAACCCTAGCTTTAGTAAGTATCTAATGTTCAATATTTTATAGTGAAATAGTTGGGAAAAAAATAACTTAGTTGTTTTATTACAGTAATTTTATCACTGAAATAAAAATTTCTTTTAAATTTTATTTTTTAAAGAGAAAAATGATGGGGAGGGGGGGGGTAACAATATTACAGACATATTAAACCAAAACAGCATAAAGCTACAACTTAGTGAGCATATTTAAAGATATAGATGAGTTTTCACAAAAATTTCTGCCGTAATATGGCAGTTTTTTCATGCAAAACAAAACAATTTCCTTAAAACAAATATATTGAATAAAAATACTTATCTTCTATAAATAGTAAAAGTCGTTTAAATTATCACGATATATCTTAATTTTACACAGCAATTTATTATACATGTATTCATAAACTATTAGTTTTTTTTTGCTTTTAGTGAAATTGTATAGAGTTAGCAAAGGATGCTGCATCCGAAGTAAAGCCTAATTTTGATAGCCATGAACATTAGCTCGTAAACAATACGAAAAAAAAAAATTTTTTAGCATTTATTTTTTTAAATATAGTCAAGAGCATTTTTATTTTGAAAACAATAATTACGTTTTTTAATGGAATATATAGTGATTTTAGAACTATACCCCTTTTACCCCATTCTGGGGCAAAGTGGGTATAACAAAATATGTTCTTTTGAAGGCGATGTAAGAAATGTTCTAATGTAAGAAAACAATCAAACAAAATAGATAAGGTATGCATTATATTTAATCTATGTTAATCAAATCTATATAAAATGCATCAAAATTTTCGGCAATATAATTTGGTATTAAAGCCTTCTTTAAAAAAAGCTTGATTTTAAACCCAATTTATCCCACCTGACCCTACTAAATAAACTCCGACTTCGAGGGATTATATCCTAATTTATGGGTTGCAGTTGTTGCTGAATTTTACTCAATTCTTTATCAACCCTATGCTATTTAATTTAACTTAGTTTTGTTTCAATAGGAATTTTATAAATGTGTACTTCCCTTGACTTTAAAAGCAGTTTTTTTCTTAAAATTTTTATTTTATTATAAACTAGTTGCATACCCATTCTTCGTACGAGATGAAAAAAAGTAAATAATCAATAAATCGTTAATATCAAAACCATGGGTGCCACTTGAAAAAAAAAAATCATGACTGAGCTCATTTTTTAACCAATTAACATGGTCTAGCATAAAGCATAATTTTTTAGAAATTTATAACTAGTTTTTCATAAAAACAGCCCACATATTAATACCTAACATCTTATACATCTTTTTAAAATTGCTGAATTACACCACTTATTTTATTTTGGAGCCATTCATACCTATATTTTTTATTAATTTCATCATCAATAATATTTTATCTTAGATCCATAAATTTCAATTTTTTTTAAAAAAGAATCTTAATTTAACTTTGCCCAGCATCTCAAAGTATGGGAGAGGGAAAAACAAACTTAAGAACATTCAGATTCAATAATACAATTTTTGTTTATGCAAGCAAATTTTGAAGTGCAGTCAATCAAATTCTTTCATTGATCATTTTGCAATTATTACAAAAAATAACTATGCTTTTACAAAAAATAATAATTCTTTTTCATTTTAACAGAAAATATTTGTATTCTTCTTTAAAAAAAGGAAATGTAATTTTTTTCTGAAAAATTTAAAAAAAAAAAAAAAAACTGGAAATAAATATTGATTCGAGAATGGAATTCAGTCCACAGATCAACATATTTCAGTCCTCGGGACTGAAGAGTGGCACCCATGCAAGACTACGAAATTATGCACATGACTGAAAAACATCTACTGACACAATTATTAAAGCTAAAATAATTCCAATTTTTTTTAAGATTATTATTTGCTAGCCTTTTCCATATCCTTATTAGATTAAGCAAAACACGTTTTTGTGATTCATAAAAATAAAGACTAACTGGACAAAAGACTAATCCTAGTAACATTTAGCGTCATCCTGTTGCTCAAGGCCAACTTAATGGTAGTCAGAATTTACTACATTCAAGCAATATTTTCTCCTTTACTTACCGCTTTTGAGAAACTGTAAAAGAAATCTATCCACCAGTATATTAAAATTGTATAGTATTAAGAGATATCAAAGATACTAATATCATATTTTGTACCCAAGTTAGTATATCTATTAAAACTTCACCAATTACCAAAATTAATTAAGTATCATAGGTATTTATAATAGTCTGGCTATTTTTTTTACCTAAATGAATTTGAATACTAATTATCTAATCTAGCTACATCTATGAGATCTGATTTTTTCCTTTTTTTAAAAAAGGTCACAATTTTTATGATGATGACCAATGAACTAATGTATTTCAATATACTTTTGAATAATTTTCATCATTATTTACGAAGTTTGACAGAAGGTGTAAATTAATTTCTTCGGCAAAGTTTGGTTCCTTAAAGTAGCAACGTAGTCACTACAATTCCCAAATAGTCTGTAGTCACCGTATTTAAAAAAAAAAGTTGTAGTAGTTGTAGTTAATTATATTTGTAACAAAGTATTTTTAAATGTAGTAAAACCACTGGTCTCAACTAACAGAAAATACGATGTAACTTCAATAAATTTATTTCAAAACCTGTACACAACTTCATAAATAAGTTTTACAGTCTAAACTGAAAAGAAACTAGTCTTAATTTTTAAGAATCAGAGGGAAAAAAATTCATAAATCCTGCTTAGTTTGATCAGATTATACTATATCTTGAGACATTTTTAATAAAATCTGCTTGAATTCTGTTTTGTTTGCTTTGTTGTTATTTAATAACACATAAAAGTAAGCAAGTTACAAAAATTCGTAAGAATATTTTATTTTAAAAACATATATACATATATCACAGTTGTATGAGAAACCAATGGTTGATAGGAGTTAGAATAGCCTCCACTGATTTCCACTGACATAGAATAGCTTCTCGAAGAACTGCCAGAGAAGAAGAGGAAGAAATCATGTCTTCACAAGACATCAAAACTTCTATCACAGAATACATTTTTTTGAAGGCCAAAAATACTTGATGAGGGAAAGCAAATCTTTGATCTGTAACACAGAGATTTAGAGAATTGAAAAGGGTTCTAAGAGACATTTGTGAGGGAAAAAAAATAAGATAACTATACAAAATTCATTTATTTTGTCAGATCTTTGAGTATAGAGCATTTTAGAGTATTAGTGGATGAAAATACTGAGTGTTTTTCAGTGAAGAAAATGGTTACCAAGGCTTTTCATTGCAACCAGTCAAGTAACGTTGAAATATCTTGTTTTTGAGAGTATGTTATATGTTATAATATTAATAGTGTGAATACTAAGATGAATGCAATTGGAAAGGCAAGGTATAATCTTATTTTAGATTAAGGACCTCTAAATTAATTTACTTAAATTCACTTCAACCCCTCAGTTTCAAAATTGTTTGATTATAATAAGTAACTTTCGTGAAAAATTCTGAAAATCTTACAAAGCAGGGTGTAAAGGTTACCGTGATTTTTAAAAATTCAGAGAACCTGATTTAAAAAAATTAGATTTTTTTAAAATTTAATATTTGAACTTTTATTTTTCTTCTTCTAAATATTGTGTTGCTGAAGTGAAGGGTTTTAAATTATTAAATTTTAATTATGTAAGCTATAGTAAAAAGCCTAAAGTATAATATTTAAATACAAATTTGCTATAATGGTGTGGTTAATAATTAAACCCTAGAATGGAGACAAAATGGATTCCCTGATAATTCTATTGCAAACTAATAGCAAACATAAATAATTTTGCTCAGCAATCATTTTTTAAAATAATATTAAATATTAGAACCATATTGTTATTACAAATTTGGTGAGTGCAAATCCACAATTTAATATTTTCGTTTGTTAAACAGGTTGATACATTAAATACAATTTGTGAATGCATCACATTGATCTGCTCAAATCTTTCCATTATTTAACCAATCACTTTAACTGTAATTTATAATATTATATTAATGTAATTTGTACCAAATACGAAATTTGTAAAATGGTTAATAAATCTAGAACAGTGATTCTCAACCACTGTGCCGCGGCACTTTTGTGTGCCGCCAAATTCTTAAAATGTGCCGCCAAATATTAGAAATGATACAGTAAAAATTATAATGCTTTTTTAATTACGAGTAAAGTTTAAATTAAAGAAAAGTGTATATTATATTTTTTCCACTCTTTAACCGCGGGAACATCTTTGTCAGCGATTGTCTTGTCTCTGACAATCTTAAAATAAGAAGGAAGTGTTTAAATGGTCGTTGACAATTTTAAAAAATGTTGAAATAAGTAGGAAATTTAATGATCATTAAAATTATTAATTATCAAAGGAAAGCAAAGCTAAATATTAACTTTCAAACTTAAATAAAGGCTAATCATTAAAGTAAGCTATGCAATTAAAAGTTATAAAAAAAAACTAACAAAAAATAAGCTAACAATTAATAATCAGCAAAAACACTAGTTGACAAGAATTAATAATCAGCAAAAAAACTAGCTATAGAAAACAAGCGAACAATTAATAACTAGCAAAAAACATAAATAACTGTTATTAACTAATAAAAAATTAGTCGAAAGAAATAATTAATCCCTTAATAAATGTGCTTTTGTAGTACTTTATTTCACATTCAAAATTATTATCACAAACTATTTAACACAGTGTATTATAGTTAAGTAAATAACTTTTAAACTAATTTTTTTCATTGTGTGCCGTCAAATTTCGAAATCGTTAAAAGTGTGCCGTCACAAAAAAAAGGTTGAGAATCACTG